CTTGTGCGGAGGAGTGCCAAACTTCCCAAAAGGTGGTCCATTGTTACTAAATGTAACAGCCTGTATTGGTTCTCCATTGTTACCCTTATTCCATACCTCCTTTTTAGGACTGCTCTTCCTGTATATTAATCCTGCCTTTTGAATTCGAGTCCTCAACTCAGGCCACTGTACAGCATCATCAACACGTCCTAATATAACTTTCACTGGTGCAGCCAACCCCTCTATTAGGGTGGTCTTAAATCCCAAATCAAAGTTAAAATCTCTATTTCCCAGCTGAGGAATTAAACCCCAACAACTGCTTCCTCCGGATATAAGCTTCAGGGCTTTCTCTGGGTTTCTGCACTTCCCTAAAGTACAACAGGGACACTATCCAAGCACCTAAAAGTACAGTCAGAATTCTCCTAGTCCATCTGTATACATTATCTTCAATTGGCTGTCCATCATCCAAGGCTGCCTTAATCACTGACCAGTCCTCTGAATTACTAGCTTGAGCTATATCTTGATAGTCAGGAACAGTTTGATCCAAACACTGTTTGATCCTGTTTGATCCAAACACTGCAATCCACTGAATTGCTGTATACCTGTTCAATGGACTTAAATTCATAGCTGCTGCTCTCACCTGTTCTGGTGCTAATGGAGCAGTAACAGTGACAGTCTGTTCTACCCTGCGCTGCTGCTGAATCAGCCCATTACCATCTCCTGCTCCCCCTGCAGCTGGAGCTTGATCCATCTTCATAATCTGCTGTGTCACTACTGGAGCCATAGGACACTGTTCCACCTTTTCCTTCATGTCATGCAACTCCTGCCTCAAAGGAAGGCTATAAATCACTTCTTGACCATGCTGATGGCCTACCTCTGACCCATTCTGCTCTTTAGGATTCCTTATAAAACTGCCTGCGCTTCAGCAAGTACTGTCTTTGGTGCTGTGCACAGTGCAGCATATAACATACCATATAGATTTTGATTCTTCCAGATCCTAAGGTCTAGTCCCAATAGGCCCTGTGCAGGCACTAAAACTTAGAACACTTGACTGTGTTGCTTGTTACTGGGGCTCTGTCTTCTGGGATTTCAGGCAATCATAAGATCCACGTAGCAAGGATTTGAATGCAAGGTAAGAATCACCGTGTGATCTTCCAGCAGTAAACTTTAGGAGTCAGATGCTTACCCAACCTGACCTCAATTAAATCAGCTGGATGGGAGCTAAATGTAGTACTAAAAAGTGGCTGAACAAAATGAGAGAAATCTGTTGAAAATCCCAGCATGGAGCTGGTTATGTATGAAGTGGAGTATTTCAAGTATGAATGTGTGTATGTGTTTGTGCATGTGCTGAAGAAAGTAAGGTTTGCAGTGGAGACACAGGAGAGCTTTGTGTACAGCGCTAACTCTGACACAGCTCAGCCTGTTCTCCGTCACTCTGTTTCACTTCTGGCTGTGCAGGAACATGCAGTGGCTCTTCATCCTCACTGTCCTTGTCATCACCTACATGCAACAGGTAAGCTTTTGAAGGACTTTTCCTCTCCTCTAGGGTCTAAAGCTTAAATAAAATGTACTTGAGGAACTGCCTCATGCAGAATAGAAAGCCATTTCCCACTACAGGATAACATTAGTTCGTGGAATTTTGGCAGGCAGAATTTTGTTATTTTCCTCTTTATGCTACTCATTAAAATTTGGATGGGATGTGGGGGAAGGGGTAAAGTATTAGCAACTCTGCCTTTTATTTTCCTTTATGTACAAAATCTTGTCTGAGGCAGTGTAAGAAAGCAAATATTTTTCCTTGCTTCTACTCCAGGTATATACACTTAGCTGGCTCTAGGACTCTACAGACTAGTTTTACGAATTAGCATGGAGTGCTGCTTATGTTCTGTCTTGACTTGTGGGATAATATTAAATGGAATCTTTTCTAAAATCTACTCCTGTTTCAAATGTTCATTTAATTAAAAAACCCAAAGCTTGAAAACTGTATGAAACGATGTGTTGTTTTGCTCTTCTAAATACCAAGCTAAATGTCCAAACAGAGCATTTTCAAATAAAGCTTTTTAAAATAGTTATAGCTTGACCTAAAAGCAACTAAAATTTTAAGATATATATGTTTGTCATATATTTTGCTATTAATTTATTTACCTCAAACATTCTTTCCTTAATTTTAAAACAAACCAACCAACAACCCATCAAGCACTGCTATACAATGGACTCATTTTTTAATCTGCCCAGGGAAAACATGTGCAGTGGGTTTGTGTGATGTGGACACATCATTACAGAAAGCTAGGGAAGCAAGAATTATAAAATATTTGGTCTGTAAACTTTACAGGCAGGCTTTAAATTTTTATCATAACTTGATGGCTCTTTGAAGATCTTTCAAGTAAACAGTTATTCAGTGGTAGCAGAGCTAATGGTACCAGTAGATGTTTTCTTCTATTTTGTTTTTCTTGCTGTGAACCTTCAGCATTTCACTCTGAATTAGCCTCTTTTCCATTTTATTTTAGTTTAGGTAGCATGCTGAAAGTTCAAAGCACAGTTTGCTTTATAACACAAAAACCTGAAATAACTATATGAACATAAGTGAATCTGCTGAGCCACTTAGTATATTTCCTGTTACAAATGCATCTTGAAATGCAAAAACTGATTTTAGCCACCCCAGAAGTGTCATATAGTCCAAAATCTAGGTAAATCACTACAGAAATTATGCTGGCTCACAAGATTAGAGCAAGCGCTGAATAGTGTTAATTTTGAGTTTTTTTAAGCACAGATGTCAAAGATAGGTCCCTTGGAGCCCTATCATCTGGACTGCAATGTTGCACATGGGTTTCAGAGTGGACCAACATGCATGTGGCAGTTGGGGCTAGTTTGTGGGCCAGATTCAGCCTGTGGACTGGCCCTACATCACTCATCTAGTCCAACTAATTAATTTATTTCTTTCCTTCTTTGTATCTACGCGCACACGTACAAAAAATATTCAGTGTTGGAGACTACATGGTTACTTCAGGACAGGAGGATCAAAATTATCAGGGGGCCAGTCCACAGGCTGAATGGGTCAGGCTGAATATGGGGCATGCCATGTATATTATAAAGCAACCTGCCTCCTTCATATCATTCTTCCATAAAAAACTTTAAGAAGCTTAAATTATCAACACATGAAATACAGACCAAATTAGTTTTGCAGTTTGCATGAAAAGCTAACACTAGTGTTTTTTTTTTAAAGTTTTAAGAGCTAGAGAGTTATTTATTACTGCTGTGCTCATGTCGAATAAATAATGTAACAATGAAAGAAAGCAAAACAACACATTCGTAAAGCTGCATCTAATATACAGATCTCAAGCCATGGAGGCATAGCCAAAGCCAAATGATAGCTCAGGTCCCATAGGAGTTGGTTAATAGGTAAGTATCTTAAAATTAGTTCTAGGAAAGTGAGCTTGGAAGCCATACTTTGGAACCTTGTAAAATGTTGTCAAAAACTGTTTGCAAAATTAAAGATATGGTTAGAAAATGACTGTAAAATGGTGACAGAGGTAAAAAAAAACAGCCCTCTGTGAGACAGGTCCTCTATTTTCTGTAGCAAGCTAGAATTCAGTCATGGTGCAAGAGCATTCACTGATGTGCCAGGCAAAGTACTAGGCAAATTTTCCACTTTCTTCCAGTTTAAAAAGAGAAAGTTGAAATAAATTGGTAATTAATAAGCATGAGGACAATAACCCTTGTTATTTTGCTATTACATTCAATTTTCTTTATAGTCAGTGTCAAAAGCTGTTTTTTTTTTTTTATATTGATGGCATGAAGCTACATAGCAGAATTTGTAGCAAGGCAGAGAACCTGATAGCAGCCAGCTGATCTGTAGGTACCCAGGAAAATTTGGAAAACGAGTTACAATTTTGGAACCTAGGTGACACTGATAACTTCTGTCTGTCACTGTGATATGGCCGTATCTTGTTTTTTCTGTCCTCCTTTACTGATACAACTAGAAGTTACTCTGAACTGTGCTGATGGAGCTGATAGCACTTCTAGTTCTCAAACCTTACTCCCCTGTAGCAACTAGCCACACAGCAGGGCTCCAGCTCAGTATCAACCTATTCAGCACTAGCATATAGGCACATTCAAGTTTATATTTCTGTTAAAAAGACTGACAGTGAAATAGATGAATGTCTAGAGATAACAGATCATTTAAATTATCACATTCTTGAGTTGATACTCCATTGCAATAAACACGTGATATAATCTTTCAAGCTCTGCATAATTGTAGGAAAATAATGGTTTCACTTTTTCATATGAAATACAGGATCTTTGTTTTAGATCATTCAGACCATCATTCACTCCTAATAGTTGCTGCTGCAAATATTTTATTAAGATTTATTTTTTAACTAAGCCCTGTCTTGTGGAAACACTTGAGAGAGTAAATTTATGCATAGGAACAAATCTACTCTACACACTGGAACAGCTCCTGTGTTGCTACGAACAGGACCAAAACCTAGAACACATTTTCCCAAGTATAGCAGAGGCAACCAAATCATTAAGTAAGATCTAAGTTCAGAATACTTGTGACAACGTAAGTGAGAGAGAGAACACTGGTGGGCTTCCAGATACCAAGCTAAGCTCACAATGCTGCACAATAAGAAGAGGATTTGATTTTTTTTTGAGTATGTATTATATGATGTCTTTGAGAAAGAACAGAAGCCACCCCCTCCTCCATGTCAACTGGTAAGTCTTTTTTGTGACTAGAAGGTTTTGTTTTACTGAGATGCAGACCTTTTCATGAAATAATAGGTGACCGGACTCATTGGTGGTGCAGTGCAAGTGTGCTGAAGTTAGTGATGAATTTGGTCCTTTGTCTCTCATATAAACCCTTTTTGATCTTACAAACCTTTGTGCGGTGACTTAAGAGGCTTCTTTCAGCTTTACTACATTTTGTGGCATATTAACCAGCTTTAAATTATTCCAGCCCTCAAAAAATCCAACTATGTGCAAGTTTTTTTGTAGGGCACAAGGTAACAGTCAACTGCAAGTGAAGTCCAGGGAAAAGTCTGAAGAAGCTGATGAAGTACATCAGCGTAAAGAGTTTTGTCACTGGCCATGCAGATGTCCACCCAAGCCAACCTGCACCCTTGGCGTGAGCTTGGTAAAGGATGGATGTGGCTGCTGTCAGATCTGTGCCAAGCAGTCAGGAGAGATATGTAATGAAGCAGATATCTGTGACCCTCACAAAGGGTTATATTGCGACTACTCTGCAGACAGACCTAGGTATGAAACAGGAGTATGTGCATGTAAGTTACTCTTTTGTATCCTATTCTTGACACTTGAGAGGGTGGGGACAGTTGTGTCCGCCCCAAAAAAATAAGGTTCTTTTGTTTGGGATGTACAATTCACAGCCTTTTATGTCACACCAAATTGGAGTTCCCCACCTGTTTTCCACTGCGTAAAGCCACGATACTGAGATTAAGGCAGCATCTCCCTTAAACTTACTTAAGGGTGAAGTTACACATTACACTTAGATCATAGTAAGGACACTTAAAATGTGAGCATCCACACATTAAAGCTTGTTAAGTGCCCTCTGAGTGTCTCTCACTTACACCACTTCAGGCAAGGGTTAACTCTGGGCTGAGCTACCTAGCTTGTGTTAGGGGAAATAAAAGAAGTAATTTGCAGTCCTCCAGCATTCCAGCTGCCTCCCAACCCCCAGCAAGGTTGGAGCTCTGGTGTCCTGGCTCCTAGCTATGCCTCTAATCACCAGCCCTCTAGTGGCAAGGCAGAGCTGCGCAGCAAGAAAAAGCATTAACTGTTAACATGAGACTGCTCACATCTAAACATGTGAATTTTTCTTTGAAGAAAATTCAGGGGCATTAAACTGTGCCCCTGCACTCATGTGAACATGCACCTATTAGGAACAAATTTGCTCCCAATGGGAGTGGTTCACTCCAGGGTTGCTCCTGCACTGTTTCCGCCCCCCCCCCCAGCAGCCAGGGAGAGTTCCAGACTCCCCTGAGTGCCAGCCCGGGGCTGGCAGGGGGTATGTGGGCTGCACCCAATCTCCACAGGGTGGGAGAGAGCTGTTCTAGCAACCAGGACCACTGCATCCCAGCCAGACCTAATGTGCAGTAAAGCATCTCATATAGACATGCTCAGCATGTTCTAACTTTAATACCACTTAACATTCCAGATTTGGTATGGTCTTACGTGCAATATGCAACTTCACCCCTACACATCAATTAAACTAGCCCACTATGTATATCCACTCTTATATATAGGCATGTTTATTAGAAAAAAACAGCCAAAACACATACTTTTTCATATATAAAAGTGCATATGGACAGGGAAGAGTTGGACTCACCTCTCTTATCTGCAAACTTAATCAATGGAAGTTCTGGGTGCAAAATTTATAATAGCAAGGAGCACTACAGGTGGAAAAGGACACTCGTTACAATTCTGTACACATTAACTATATGTTAAAGCTTGTGGCAGATTAAGTAACTTTCCTGTCTAACCTTTTTCAGATATGATAGCTGTAGGATGCGAGCTCAATGGAGTGCATTATCCTAATGGGCAAGCTTTCCAACCTTCCCCTCTTTATAAGTGTCTGTGTGTCAGTGGTGCAATTGGATGCACCCCTGTGTTCACTCCCAAATCAGCTGTAAGTCCATGCACCACAGTCAAAGGGAAAAAAAAGTTTGGACCTTCCACCTGTGGCCCTGGACAACAGAAGCAGCTACAATCAACAGGTTACAGATTAATGCCAGGTGTGCATGACTAGAATGGTAATTTCTTTTTATAAATGATAAATTTAAAAAGATACATTTTTCTTAAAAGGGCAAATTTATAGATATTCTTCTGTTAACCAACATAAGTCTTTCTTTCACATGACTCACTTGTAGTATTATCAATGTGAAATCCCCATTCCCTTTTAAAAGTCATCCTTATTTTTCTATGCACTAGAACAGTAGTTCTCAACCATTTTTGTACCAAGACTCCTTTGTACACATCAATGGGCAGTCTCAATCCAGTGCCCCTCTCTCCCAACCCACTGCCCTCCTGCCCTTAGGCCCCAACCCCCCAGTGTGTGGGGCAGGGGGTGGGTGTGTTGGACATGGGGGGCCCCAAGCAGCCCCTTGCAGGCTGAAACTCTGACAGCCTGCAAGGGAAAAGCCAGTTTCCCATGTTTTGCTCCTTTAAAGGAGAATCCATTTTTAAAGTTTGCTTGTGACCCTTTCATAAGGTTCCTATACATGTGCAGGGAGGCTGCTCCAATGCGCTGTAACTACAGCATGTTGGAGCAGACTCAGTTAATTGAGTCTGTTGGAGCATGGCAATTACGGTGCTCCAGCATCATGTGTATGTGCCCCTGTACTGAATAATGGTGGCGGGGTGTTTTAACTCAAGCTTGTTTGACCAGCTTTAAAGCGCCCCTGTCACCATTTCTCAGCATGGGGAAGCTGAGATACATGATACTCCAGGCACTAATTAAAGCACCCTCCCACCTCCCAGAGCACATCTATAAATGCCCATATATTCTTGCAACACACTTTTGGGTCATGACCCACTGGTTGAGAAACACTGCACTAAAAGAATAAAATAAAACTAAGCTCAAGACTCAACAGCTAACCACTCTTCTGCACTGTGGATGCATAAGTATATGGGGAAGACCCAGGATTTCCTAAAAGGGGGTGCAGCACACCACCCCTTGAACAACTCCAAAGCCGCTCCTGCCCTGTGCTGTAGGGGGCAGCTGTACAGGAGCTGTACAGGAGCTGGGCTCGGCCAGGGACATCAGCAGTGGTGGTGCACAAGTTCCTCCCTCCAGTGCCTGCTCCTAACCAGAGGGAGGAGCAGGTAGGGAGCAGGCACTGGAAGGAGAAACCTGTGAACCACTGATCCCTCCTGAGTCTGGCACCCTGCAAAGCCATAGCCCATGGCTGGAACAGGGGAAAAGCAGCTCTGGGACTCCCTCTGTGCCCAGCTGAGCTGGGGCAGTAGTAGTGGCAGCAGAAGGCTGGTTCAGCCATATTGCTGCACCCCTTTGGACCCTCCCCTGCATAAGCAGATGCATGGCAGGAAGCCAGTCTCCTCCCCACTCTGCACTTGGAGCTCAGTTTGGACAAGCTTTCAGCAAGCCATCCTAAAGAAATGGAAACTCGCTTTACATCCAAATCATAATTAATTTAGTACTTGGACCAGCAGCAAAGGAGAGCAAATCCTGTTCACAGAATGTATTTAAAGTTGTATACAAAACCACACTCGGTAAGAAAGGCACTCAGAAAAGCATATGAGTTCAAATGAATGCATTGCACACTCTAGAGATTGTTCTTAAATTAATCAAGGAAAGACTTAATACCTCTTGAAAGTCTGAAACAATCATTTCATCTGGTTGAAATGCATCGATAAAGCAGTACGATGATGTGAAACTACTTATTTTTGTCATCTTAATATAACTGAAATCTGAAACCAAGTTTTTAACAATCTTTACTAAGAAAGGAGAAAGACCAAATATTCGTATAAGATGTGGAACACAAGAAAAAGCTTATCATCATTCACAAAGCAACTGTTTTCAAATTGGCCCTTGTTTTAGAAGGCTGAGCCCTCCCCTGCTTTATTAAGAGGAGAAAAAGATCATTGACTGATGCATACTGAGGAACCAGGTCATTCTTCCAGTCACAGAGCACCTCTGATTGGCTGTCTTTGCCCCCACACCAAGACTGATGTCAGGGAAACAAACAGCATTTTCCCCAGACTAGGTGCATTTTTTGCATAGAACTTTAGGCAAGTCTGTAAATCCACAGCAGGTCTGCATGAGGTAAGAAGAGTAACAGAATTTTTCCTGTATGTCAAAGCACTTCTGTATTTCAATAAAATGGAGCTTGCTGTCTTGCAGAGCCCAGCAAACTACAGATTCTATTTCACAAGCTAGCTTTTGTGGAGAACTTTCTTGCATGTGATCCTGATGGAAAGCACACAGCCTAGGTGGGGTCATTTATGCTTCTAATTAGTTAGACTATCTGGCCTTCATGTATTATCACAAGATGAACCCCAAGGGGATCTTTAAATCCAATTAAATCCAAATAAGGATTTACTTGAATGTAAAAAGAACTTTACGGTAACATTCCTGTTCCTCTTAGATTTCAAACTTCGATTTTACATCGAAGTAAAAGTGACTCAAGATAATCACCAGGGATCTGGGTTTTCCATTTGCTACGGTAAAACACAGATTTTGTCTTTTAAAGGAGAAAAATGTGGGAAACAGCAGGTTTCCTCTTGCAGGCTGACAGAGTTCCAGCCTGCAAGGGGCTGCGGGAGGAGGGTGATCAAGCAGGGGGCATCATGTGCATGTGTGTGTGTGCACGTACATGTGTATGTGTACATAGCAGCCAGGCAGCGGTGCAGCTTTCTCCAGGTAAGTCTATGGGGGCAGGAGGGAGGGGGCACAGGCCATGCATTGGGCACGGGGGAGGGAGAGAGGGTTACAGGCCATGCACTGGGGGGCATATGCCCCCCAAGATTTCTGTACCCACAGTGGGACATGGGGCTGTAGCGGGGCTGAATGAGCTCTGGCCAGGAGTAGTTACTGCAGCTCAGTGGGGGAACCCAGCACAGAAGAGAGCACCGTGCTGCCATTCCCACCATGGCATGGCACCCCCTGCCTGCCTGGCAGTAGCAGGGGCACATCTCCACACTACTGCCAGTGCCACTGCTGTGCCTTACCATGGCAGTGCAGTGCTCCCTTCAGCACTGGGTCCTTGGAGGGAGCTGGGCCATGGAAGTGGCTCCTGTCCAGAACTGGTCTGGCCCAGCTGCAGCCTCATGCCTCGCCATAGGTGCAGAAATCTTGGGGGGGGGGGATGTGCCCCCCACTGCATCGCCTGTGCCTCCACCTTCTCCACACACCCACTCCCTTCCTCACACACAGAGGAGTGGGGGGGCAGTGGGTTGGGAGTGAGGGGCACCAGCAGGACTGTGAGGGCTGTGGGCCAGGAATGAGGGACAAAAATCTAATGCCAAGATTTATAGATGTTTAGAATGTATTTTATTATAATGATTGAGGCACTGGTAGGCTTCCAAATTGCTTTAAAATTGTAAATATATCAATAAAACATTAGGGTTAACTGATGCCTATATATAGAGTGGTGTTTCATTTTAATTGTGGAAAAACATGGATCTTGGACTTTTTAATCATAGAATTTGCAGTTTTTAATCAGAGAATTTGTGATTTTTAAAAAGAAAAAACAGGATACCTGATAATCACTAATATCTGTTGATTGGTGGGCTCAAAAACAAAAGTTTAATAATCAAACTTGCTCAGTATTCACCACCATTTTAAGACTTGGCTATTGTTCCCATATCTTTGCTTTCTGGGCTGGAATAAACAGAAAATGACACAAATATAATGCCTTGGCCCTAAGGCAAAAGTCTCCAGCTACTTCAAATTGAACAAATTCCTCCAGCCACACTTCAGCGTGGGAGTGAGAATTTCAGAGCAAGTACCTCTTAATGGTTAAGGGCTATATGATGTGCATGTCTTATTACTTCTAAAGAACTCAAAGTATACATGGCGCTTAAAAGCACAGACCGAGATTGAAGAAATTCACAAATAAAAAAGAGACAACATGGAGAATGAACATCAGGGAATAGGCAAATACAACAGCAGCAGAAATTGTTTGTAGAAACTATTTCCCTTTTCTCAGAAAAACCTTGAAAGATGGTTTCAAAATGATGTATTCCCCTTAACTTATTCTAAAGTAGACTACAAATGAAGTACAGTGTATGCGTGGCTTGCATGCAGTCATGCCACAGCTTGTTAAATCTAGCATACAGACAAAGGATCAAGTAAAAATGAGTTAACATAGGGCAGAAACATCCCATGGAACAGCTGACAGGTGGTAACTGTTTATGTGCTCACAATTAATGAAAACTAAAACTGGGCATCTTGTCCCTGTTTCAGCCTGCCTTACCTTACCTTCCAGGTAACTGCTGGCACATAAACAGTTACTGTGCAGCAGTTGTTCTGTGGTAAGCCTCTGTCTCCTGTTAACTTGCTTTAACTTGACTGTCTGTCTGTACTTTAAGAATTTTTTAATACTTTTTTCTTTTCTGTTAGTGCTGATAACAAATGCTAAGCTTTATTTTAACCACTTTCAGATATCCTTTCCTTTTAAAAATTCTGTTTAGCCAATTCCCACAATAAGACAGCATCTCAATCATATTTAAAAATGTACTAAATATGAGCAACTATGTAACCTCCCTTTATTTATTGCAGATCTGTGCCAGGCTTTTAACCTGCTTCCTGCAATGAGAGCTTTAAACTGCTGTTTACCTTCCAGGTATCCTCATAATTCTGCCATTGCCTCTTACCTATATGTCAGATTTCAAATCCTGTCAGCCACTCATCCTGGAGACTATGTCTACATTTGGCACGCTAAATTTTAATTTTAAGGCTTTCTCTATTAGTCCTCATATTAAGTAAAGAATTACATTTATTAGCAGCGGATAACTGGAAGTGATGTTTTTTTAATCGAGGGAGCTGGTAGGACCAATCCACCTCCCCAAACTATGCCAAATCAACCAAGGTAGATTTAAATTCAATTTTCACAGCTTTAGCTGGCTTGTATTTTGTAAATGTGTGCCACTCTTGTGGACATTTTTTATATAATTTTTTTTATAAAGGATTGTTGGTTCTTATAACCTTAACCTGGAAGGTCCTATAATATATCAAGTGTCGGCTGAAATTTCTAAAACTAGATGATTTAGATGCTTTATTTCTGCTTATTTGTTAAATAAAAATTTAGGGTCCAAAAATCTTTTTGGAAGTCTTGCACCTTTCAGCTTCACCATTTAGATTTACCTATCAAAACAAACAATCAAACAAACAAATGAACAAACCACTACCCAAATAGAAAACAAGTGCTAATTATTGTTTTTAATTGATGCTTTTTAAAGCTAGAATTCTGCATGTACCTTGTATCATCACATGCATAATGTATTGCTCTTTCAGCTTACAGGAGTCTACCACTTGTTTTAAAGAAGAAGTGCTTAATACAGGCAACTCCTTGGACCCCTTGTTCTAAAACCTGTGGTATAGGCATCTCCAATAGAGTGACCAATGAAAACAGTAAATGTGAAATGAGAAAAGAAGAGAGGCTGTGTTTCATTCAACCTTGTCAGACCAATATACTGAAAACTGTAAAGGTAATTTCTAATGCAAAACACCATCCTTCCTCTCTCCTGTATAAGCCTTCCTGAAATATAAGATCAAACTTGTCTTTAGCCTGTAGCAGTGAGCTGCAGAAATGTAATTTAAGTAAAATAATAAGTTACACCTAAAACAGTGAGTTACACCTAAAATCTGAGGATCATTAGTGGTGTCCTGCTATATTATATTGGCAATACACAAGCATATGCATAGAGTTCAGTCTTCTGACTTACAAAGAAAAATAAGAGTGCTTCTAGGGGATAGGTAGTATTCAAAGAAACTACTTGTATTTAAACAGCTAGCTGTACCAGGGCTGTATGATCAACCCACACTTAGCAGCCTTTGTTCTAGCATCTTTTGATTTTTTTTTATTTTTGCACATGGAAACTTAAATTTTGGTTTTACATTTTAAGATTCCAAGAGGAGAAACCTGTCAACCAACATTCCAGCTTTCCAAAGCAGAGAAGCTAGCCTTTTCTGGATGCTCAAGCACACAAAGCTACAAACTTACTTTCTGTGGTGTGTGCCTGGACAAGAGATGTTGCATACCTAACAAGTCCAAGATGATCACTGTACAGTTTGATTGCCCTAATGAAGGTTCCTTTATGTGGAAGATGATGTGGATCACATCTTGTGTTTGTCAGAGGTTGTGCAGTGATCCAGGAGATATATTTTCTGAACTCAAGCTTTTATAGTAAGTTACACATAGCACCATATTGTGAAGTTAGAAGCACAATCACAGCTTGGAGAGTTAGCTAAAGGGGCAACCTTTCTACTAAAACTAACTTTTGAACTGTTCGTCATTCTTTTGCTAAGTGTTATTTGGAAACATATATATAAAGCCAGGCATTAAAAAGACTTAAATGTATCCAACACTGAAATCATTATAGAGTGGTATCTTTTTGTCATTCTCTTATGTAGAAAGGAGTGCTACATTGAGCTGTTTAATACACAAAACAGCAAAAGCTCATATAATCAGATGTCTTACCCCATGGCTAAAAGAATGTGTAAATTTAAATTCAAGAAACAGCCAAGTAACCTACTAGAAAAAAGGAATTTTAACTTGTTGCAACAACTCTTTATCATTCCAGATTCATAAGACAGATATTTTAAGGTTTTTTTGCTAGCAATATTATATATATATATCCTAGTACTGTTTCAAATGCAAAAATGAATTTTAATTGAATTGCTCCTCTCCCCACTGTTGTGAATAAATGACACATTTACAAAGGCACAAATAAAAATATATTTGTCAAGACAAGGATCACCTAATTCATCTCCTCAAAGAACAATTTGTCTAGGCTTTTACTAAGACAAATTTATAACTCCCACTAAAATACAGAAAATGAAAAGTAATCCCATGTCTTTATATAATGCTCTTACCTTCTCATCTGTTCCTTTTGTTTTGTGTCTTATTTATCCCATATTGTAAATTCTTGGGGATTGGAACCACGGTCAAGTTATTGCTCCACTGAAGTCAACAGCAAACTCCTACAGATTTCAGTAAGGCCAGACATACCTGTACACTTCACACCAAAAGTATCTATAAATAATAGATCTGGCAAGTTATTTCACTGGAACAACTCATTTCAGAATGCTTCTTCTCTCTCTCCCTTCAAGAACTGTGTCAAAAATTGACTTCATCTAATTTTCTTGGATACTTCTGGCCTCAGACATTGAAAATTAGAGCTTATGCTATTGTGTCTAATTACACTGACACACACATTTAAAATGCCATTACTCCAGTCTGAACTGTGGCAGTTTACAACAGCTTTAAGACAGAGTCAAGCTTTGTGGATAAACTCAAAATAGTTATATATTTTATTTTATAAAAATAAAGGCAAGTGTTTATAAATACACAAGTATCTTCAATCCAATAATTATATACATAAGAACTCAATTAAAATAAAAGATTCTCAAGAACATAATCTTCATTCTTCCAAAAAAGTTGTCAGTGCTACTATCAGTTACAGCAAAAAGTGATATTCTACATTACCCTGATGAAGTGCATTCATTAGCACTAGTGTAACCTAGAGTGTGGACAGGAGTAACAATTGAAATGTTTCAAATGCCTCTGAAAGGTTTCAAAGAGCCATCTATGCAAAGATCCATGAGCTTTGAAACTCTTCAAATAGTGGCTAAACCACTCCAAAATACCTCTTTAAAAAAGAGGTACTATTTTGAAAACAACCCATATGTCCTCCAGAATTCCATAGCGCTCTGCTTTCTCCTTTTCCCTTTTAAGTGACACAATTTAGATTAATATTTTGGAATAATTCCTAGTACCCTGCAAAGTTTAAATCGAAAAGACTCTCTAGATGCTTGCTTTTATGTTTGGGAGGGGCATATATGTTTTACGTCTTCTCAGATAACTTGGAAAAATATTAGGAAAAACATCCCTACATTAGACAACTGTGGGAATTAGAGCTTGTACTTGATTAGTTGAACTTAAGGTCTAAGAAGTTCAGCTACACTTTGGGCAGCTATAATCCTCCTCTGTCTCTCTATCATGGTCTTTATTCACTCCACAGTTGGACAGATATGAGCTAATTTAATATTCCATAACTGAATGCTAGAGTGCAATGTGTCTGTGATTCTTTCCCACAGGTTGAACCAATCATAACGTGACAACGCCAGTCAGCTCAAAGCCAGGGTCATTCTGGAGCCCTTCACTGGTTCCAAGCCATCCAGTGAACCTAGGTGATTTGGTGTTCCAAAAATACACCATCCTTACATAGCTATCTTCAGTCTTGGGGGATCTGTTCTAGGCCCACCTTTACTAACATCTAGCTGGTTATACTCCTCTATTAGGTCAGTCAGAGATGATATGGCTTCTGAGAAACAGCTCTGTTCCATCCCATCAACATGCAGGTAGTGGTGAAGGTGAGCCTGTAAGAATAAAAATAAACTAAACCATATTCTTTTCTGCACGCACAAGTTAATTCACTTAGCTCAATTTGAATTACGAAGGTTGCCCTAAAGGGGAAACAGGAAGCACCAGCAACTTTGTGTGGCAATTCTCTAAGGGACCACAGCTGATAGCCCTTTTTTCATATGCAGTGGACATTACATATTCTGCCTCTTTTGGTGGATACTTAAAAAAACAGTCACACATTTCTACCCGGTACAGCTCATCCCCCAAGCAAATATTTTATCACATAAATAAAGATAAGTAAGGAGGTTTGCTTCTTTTGTGTTGTGATGTAGCAAAGAGATTCACCAATGCATTAGTTAAAAGTCTTGTGTCACTTCTGGAACAGACCGTTTCTCATCTGGTTCAAGGATGTAAAGCAGTAAGGTAGTACTGGCTAACTTATAAATACCACTGAGTCCACAGTGTTTTATTACTGCAATTACCAGTTTGTAGGGCTTCTCTACTAATTGCCACTTGTTCAGCATGCAGCATATATTTACTCCTTAGTTCTGAATGACTGTTGGCTGCATTTGAAGTGGAAGTTTGCTTATACATTTTCAAAAATCTTGCAGGGAAGAGGTCCTGGCATCTGAGCAGCAGTGCTGTATGCTGTAGAAACTCTGGACCATGCTACAGTTTATAGTGCAACCTGAGTAGGCTGCTATCACACCATGGCAAATCTGAGGGCATGTCCAAATTAAACTAGGGGCCATTCTGATCTCTGGAGCAGCCTAATATTCAGAAGGCACAAAGATGGGTTAAAACAATTTTAAATCTCTATCCTTTTTATAGGCCACCCATCTTTTAGAGGTTGCATTCAGTTGGCACATCAGGCTGACAGGCCATTATTACTGTGTGGTAAGGCTGGCTATTAGGGCTGTGCAAAACGGGCCCTATTCCATTTGGACTCGGATTCGGCCCGAATCGGGGACAGCGATTCAATCCATTGATTCGGATCACTGTCCTGGATTCAATTCGGCCAAATCCAAATCTGAAGATTCTATGCTGATTTAGATACAGGCACGGCCTTAAAAGTTTTTTCTACATAGAGATAGCAGGCGTGGCTTGTGATCGCTGCGGTGCTGGGGCACATGGAGCGTCCCACAGGAACATGGCGGGCTCTCCAGCATGCTTGGCAGTGAACCCAGAAGTGGACTGGAAGTACTTCTGGTCTGCTTCCTGGTTCACTGGAGAGCATGCTGGGGGGCCCCGCCCCATGCCCCTCCAGCTTGGCAATCGGCCGCAGGGGCACCCTGGGTGTCCCCCCCCCCCCGACTCAGGAGGCACCAGTTGCTGAGCCAGGGTGGCGCAGGGTGCCCCCCCCTGCGTGCTCCCTGGTGGACCAGGAAGTGGACTGGAAGTGCTTTGGGTGCACTTCTGGGTCTGCTGCCGAGCACTGCTGGGGACCCCTTCTGTGGGACACTGCATCTGCCCCAGCACCACAGTGTTCAGAGCCCCTGCTACCTAGAGGTATGTAGAAAAAACATTTAAAGCTGTATCTATGTCTGAATCGCCAAATCTCTGAGAGTTCCAAATCGATTCAGAGAGATTAAAGGGTCCTCTGATTTGATTCAGATTTGTTCAGGCAAGAAGGCTGCTTGCAAACATGGAGAAAAAAAATACGTGCTTTACTTTAAACTTAGTGCTCTCCCGTACCAAACCCAGCACATGACCAGAAGAGGCAGCATGCTAGTTGCACCCGGCTTGCCCCAATGTCTGTAGAGATCGGGAACGTTAGTGGGGCTTTTTTGGTGCTTTACTCTAATAGCTGATTGAATCAGCTTCAGCTAAAAGTGGCATAAAAGTGGCATAAAGTGCCCAATCTCTACACATGCTGTGGAGCCGGGTCAAAGTAACGTGCTGCTGCTTCCGGTAGAATGCAGGTTTTTTTCCCCCTCCATGTCTGTCAGCATCCAAAGAGACCTTCTTCAACTAAGTCCCAAAGTCTTGCTTCTTATATATCACAGCCAGGACTTTCATGACAGAAAGCAAGTCTCAGAATATGACTTTATGAACAAGATAGTTTCAGTTTGACTGTATCGCTACTGTTTTTAAATAAATAAAGTTATTTTTAAAATTGTTGACCAAAATTACAGGATTTCTAATGCCAAAAAAGTAAAAGTTGTGAACCATAATTTAAAATTCACTCATATTTTTGTTTTCACAAAGTCCCAGCTTTTCTTGCTGTGTTGCCATGACAAACAACCAGCTTTTATTAAAGCATTTTTATTTGTGTTTACTACATTTCGTTAATGATAATTAAATTAATTCATTTAATAATTAATTTTAATAATTTAAATTTAATAATCATCATACTTTTGTACCAGGTATCCAGCAACAAGTGAGAGAGCTGAAGTATAAAAATATTATGAAGATATTCATTCTGGTGGTAAAGAGAAACCAATTCAAGACAGAATATTCTGTAGTAAGGACCCAACTTTGCTGATAAGAGTTTGTACTTCCTGTAGTTGCAACAGGATTGATACAAAGTTGGAATTTTGACCATTTTTTCATAGTGACATTTGCATTCCCATCCACTACTCAAAACAAGTACTCTTTTAAAAATACCTTGAGTTGCCACCTTTTTTCACATACCTTTTTCTTATAGAGCTTCATAAATCTGTCTTTGAGCTCCATAAAGGTGGGTTTCACACAAGTGTTGTTTGCTAATGCCAGAAGTGAGTGAGAATGACCCACAGGAGGTACCGAACACAGGCCTGTTTTCCAGCCTTCTTGATTCCAGGACACAAATTGAAGGGAAGGCTTCAACCTGCAATAAATAATTTAACAGCTAAACTAAAAGCAAGCAATAGAAAGTTACAGAACATGGCCTAAAGGTCTGACTACATAGCAATCTCAGGGGGACCTGGATAGAAGATTTTCAGGAATAAGAAAGCCATTAATATTGTTCAGGGACCATTTCAGGCTTTATGGTATGAAATCTGTCAATTATCTAATTTAAACTTAAGGATACCATGAGAATACTAATAATTAGGGGTGCACTGATAAAGATCTTTTTGGACAATACTGATGGCAAATTATTAAATGAGCCATATCGGCCAATACTGATCCGATTGCCGATATGCAGCCTGGCAGCTTGGAGAGCAGTGTCCAGCTGGTAAGTCTGTTTGGTGGGGAAGGGGCACGGGCGGGCAGATAGAGGCCCCTGCAGTGAGGGAGGGGGCTGGGGCAGGTGCTGCCCAGTTTGGGCTGGGATGGGCTGTCACTGGAGTCCTGGGTGAAGTTACTCAGTTCTGTATGTGCCCAGGGTACTGAAACACAGCACTGAGAAAGTGACTGGAATGGAAGTGACATGCACCAAGAGGAAGTGATCTGTACGTTTACCAGGTTGCATTAGTGCCTACTCTCAGCAGTTGTCAGTGCTAGAGGAGCTCTTTGCAGTCAGACCCTTTGATTTGTTTCAGCTCAATGATCAGACTACAGCTAATTTCTTGTGTCAAGTTGGCAGATAGAGAGGATAACCTACATGTTAGCTCACTGCTTTAAGTAGTACTCCTTCCTATTCCTCCAAGGTCAGAGTGCGGTAATACGGGTATCTGACCTTTTGGCTGACATAATACAGATCCTCGGGAATCTCAGCTTACCAGGGCACTTATAGAGAAAGGACTTACCAAAGGACTAAAAAATCAACATTGTTCCTATTGATGCCTTAAAGTTTACCTAGAGTGCTCTGACGGAGTAATAATAGGCAGAGCTCTCTAACTTTTTGAGCCTGCTTAGGGAAGCAGTAACACATGTCACTAATAAGTAGTAACATCTGAAGTGTCTGCTGCTAAAAGCACTGACACTTCATGCAAGGGTCAAGTTTTGAATGAGAGATTTTACTTTTAGATAACTGAGTGTTCATACACATATAAATAGGGGCACCTTCTATGGGAAATACAGTGAGTACAACTTTGTTCTAAATTTCAGGCACCTTCTTTACTAAATTTCCAGATAAACATTTTGTAATATATATTACATACCCATTTAAGTCAATTCACTTTACTCTAAAATCCATCCCTTATTGTAACCACGGTATAATGACAACGCAATGACAACCACTGTTGTCACTAACAATTCTTCATCACATTTTAGCAAATCCTTATTAAAAAGGGAAGAGGAAAGTGTTTAATTGGCCCATATTTTTACTAAATGTTTTTTATGGCATACATATGATAAGGTTTTATTTTGACTGCATGCGCATAAGTATTTTGTAACCATATGATCATTAAGCAAATTGATTTGGCTTGAAAGACTCACCTGACAATCAGAAAGTTTCATTATGTACAATGTTTACTAAAAAAGTGCTACTAGAAAGCAGGCAGAATCCTAGCTCCTGACCTTCCATTTGTCATATATTAATTCACCCCCTCTATAAAATGCCACCCTCCCTTGAATTTGTCATTGAAGCGCAGTGTACGAAAGGCTCTGAATTGCCAGTAGCTTGTATAAGCTAATTAAATAGATCAAACCTTTCAATGTTTCTACGGAGGTCTGAAACTTGAACATTTCCTCGAACCAGGAGTGCACAGGCAAGATACAAACTATGCTTTGGGTCTGCTTGAATTAGTTGGTGATCTTTACTAAAAGCATCTGAAAACATCTGATCCAACCTAAAACAAAAGAAGAGAGTCATCTACTTACGTTAAAACAAGCTCCTATAATAAGCTCACATTCTTCACTGATCAGATACCTTGCAGTTTAACAAACAGATTCATCTACTTCCTTGCCAAGTTAAAGCAAAGAGTATTAAAACAACCTACTGTTTTCCCTGTTACCTCTCTTTCAGCCCTAAGCCTTCCGATTTACACAAACTTAGACTCAGTGGTCACATCTACATGTGCATTGTAATGTGCAGTAGCCTATTTTACTGTGCATTAGAGCAGTGCGTAAAAAACCATGTTAATATGCTACTGCGCAGTAGAAAAGGCGACTGCACATTAAGTGTCACCTAAAAAGTGTGTGCTTGCACTACTGTGCATTAGCACACCCTAACGTGCATTTATTTATTGCCTCTTATTGGAGGTACCAAATTTGATGTGCATTAGGAAAAATGCATTAATGTATGTGTAGATGCACCCAGTAAGTCAAATTTAGAAATGGTTAATAAGTGACAGTAAGTTACATCCCAATAAATAGTTAATTGTAGCTTTTTTATTTAGTGTGACCTGAAGTTTGAGGTTGTGGAACATGCTGTCACAAACTTTTTATGTTACTGATCTATGTAGTTCATCTATAAAATACTGTAAGACAGCCCCAAGTAAGGCTAACAAAAGCATACTTTAATTTTGTATGGTAAGACCTACTGACATGTAATCTTCAATAAAAAGGAAGATTTAAAAAAATTTCAAAGTCAACATCATAATTTTAGTGAGCCCTACAGGTTCTATTATTCATTTTTCCCCTAACTTTCCAAAATGTATTTTAGTATTTTATTTCAATTTATTAAAAATTGTATAAAGCGCAAAATTTATTTTAGTGGCAGTGTTGAAGCATGCAAAATAGTGGAGCAGGTACCACTACTCCATGATAGTTTGTTTTACCTACCTTCTAGAAGGTACATTAACATCAGCCAATGTATACAGAGGAGTCAAACTGGAAACCAGGTAATGAAGTTGAGGAAAGGGAACCAAATTCATGCTGATTTCATTAAGATCCATGTTAAGGGAACCTTCAAATCTCGCAGAGCTGTGAATTTAATAATGCTATTATAAAAATAAAATCATTAAAAGATATACTGAAGTCAGATACATTACTCATATGTCCTTTGGAGATTCTTGACAGTTGTTCTGTGCAATCAAACTACAGAACAACATGGAGATCAAAAATGACATTTTACCAATTGTAGAACTGTAATTCAGTCACTAACATGACAGCTACTGATTTTTCAAAGAGTAGCAAACTATCCTTGGTTTTTCATAACAAATGCACTGACTACTAATGAGCCTTGCTATTTACTGACTAACATACACTCTTCAGCAAGGTGTCATTTGACTGAAGATAAGCCTAAAAATTAAACTAAATCAGCGTGTTAGAACTTAGACAATTTTTTACTAAAGTAATCATCACTTCAGACCATTTTCCATAACCGGCAAATCAGGATTTGACAACAGAGGCTGCCACAATATTAAGCATAACAGGGGATTAAGAAGTTAGAAACAGTCATAGTATTGAACAAAGGGAATTATCTGGCATAAACGCATAAGAGCATAAGAGCCTTCTGACCTCTTGATTTAGCAAGGTCTAAATGACAAATGTGTCAGTGTATGAGTGCAGATATTAATCCATAGGAAGGGTGAGCATGCACACACACATGCATGCTGGATTTTTCCTACTAACTTGCTTCACCCAAAAGGATTGAACTGTACAAATCAACAGATCACAACACAAATGGAGAGAGATGAGCTGAGAAGTGATGTCCTCATCCCATTTAGTGAGCTGCGCTGATCATATCGCAGGTTAAAGGGAGAAAAGGTCAGGAAAATGGTACTGAGGGAGCAACCATCAAGGACTCCTGGTGTCACAAACTATTCACAGGCTAGGAGAAAGTAAAAACTAATTTTTATTCTGACTTAGCTTGATAAAAAAAATGTGTGGGGACTTGTGCAATCAAAAGTGTATTCATATTCTTGAAAAAGCATTTCAACAGGAGCCTCCTGAAGCAATTAGTTTTGGATATGAAATGTCCATTGTAATTTCCATGATCTCAGGACCTGACTAGCATCCAGCTAACTTACCAGGGGCAGGACATTATTTCAAGCAGAGGGCTGCTTACTGAGTTTTGGCAAGCCATCAAGGGATGCATGACAGGTAGCCAGGGGCAGATAAATATTAGTTTTCTAAATTTTTAGGGGCCCCACAGGCCGGATAGAATGGCTTGGCTTGCCGCACCTGGCCCATGGGCCACATTTTGCCCACCCCTGAGCTAACCCAAGGTAGCTGCAGCCAGTAGGCAGTTATTACTGTGTTTCACCATAAGGTGACAAGGGAAAGGCAATAGCTTGTTTGCTTTTAGGAAACATCAGCTCCAGGAATGGACAGATAGACAACACCTTAATCAGCATAACCTACATCACTAGAACTTCTTACTACACCAGACTCAGTGACATTACGTCAGTTTAGAAGTGTGCATTATCTGTCTGTTATCCCCTCTTCCCCACCAGCATCATGTAGTTTACATAGGTGTAAGTGTCATCTGTGTATATCCATAGATCACTAGTCCAATATCTGAAGAGCTCAGCAAAGTTCTACATACCTTTAGTAAGTAATCAGTTTCCCCAATGATTAAGTGGTCAATAAATAAATAAAGCCACATTATTAGGGTACAGTTTGAATAAGCCAGTTGATTGAGCCAAGAATACATTTTCAAGTTTTCATGATAGAGAAGTTAAGCCAGCAACTCAGAAGAATATTATTCTTCTCATTTGTACTAAATAGTTAGTGACTAAACTCCCACTTAGTGGAAAGCAGAATTTCACCCATTCATTGTCTTTATAGTTTCTTTATAAGCTGTTTTGCCAGATTGCTCAGCAAAATGAATTCTGTAGTCGGCTGTTCTTCAACAGCAACTTGAACAACTGCTTGGTATCTTATACTATAGACAAATATCAAAACTGAGAATGACCAATATTTTCTGAAAAGCAGGGGCCATAAGTTTTTGTTGTGCATACCATGTCAAAAACATCAAGTTTCATCGCAGAAAACTCAATACGTTTACCTTGTCAGGTTCAGCAGCAAGTTAGCAACGATATTATTCATGGCATCAAATGGCTTTGCCTGGTCAGTTCTTATACCACCTGCACTTGAAGTTATCAAACTGTTTTGCTTCACAGTTGATCCCAGCTTTCCAGAATTGGTCATCTGATGAATTTTGCTAACTATATTAAATAAAGACTTTGAGAGGAAAAGAAATAATAAAAAGAGAAAGCTTACAAAAAGGTTACGTGCTCACAACTTTCAAATTTAGTCCCTATTCTTTCAGATAGGCTTAGAACATACAAGATTAAATTTAAATATGTTAGCTCAAGTTCAAAGCTAATGCCTTTGATGTGTTTTAATTCCGATGTGCTTTCTATTTCCAGTTGACTACAGCAGTAGTTTTCAACCTAGCAGAGAAGATTCAAGACTTCTGTGCTAGGACTCGGGGCAAAAGGAAGTACTAAATGATGGTGCAGTAACAACAGTAACGTAGGGACGTGTGTAGATGCACCTACTGAAAAGGAGCTTAAAACCTGCTTTAATATTTTTTTTACCACTTATCTAACAAGCAGACATAGGGAAATTTCCTGCTACAGTCCATTTCCCCCCTGCGCCCCCCCCATGAGTAAAATTTTCAAAAATACCCACGTGGAGTCAGGGACCCAACTCGTGTTTTCAACAGTGACACTGTTTCAACAGTGACATTTTATCCTAAGACTTGTTTTCCTGTTTATCAGCACAGACAGGGGAGAAACACTTCTGATATCATGTTGATTACAGTAAGAGAAACATATTAATATCGTTTCTTACTTCATTTTCAATTGGCAACACACAGTCTGCATGTTCATTAAGTTCCTTCATTGCTAGAACGCTGTTATATGGAGAAGTAACAACATCATCTTCACCAGAAGGGTAAACTGAAGTAACAAATCTGTATACTTCTGGGAACTCATCCTTAAGAACATTTAGTACAAAAGTACCAAGACCAGAGCCTGTCCCTAAAGATAAGTAAGAAAAGCATCACAATACTTAAAACAACATCCTGGATTAGGTAAGTTCCCATATATAAGACATGGCTTTTGTATTAATTTCCAGCCAAGATTTCAGAAGTGTTCAGCA